AGGTCAAAATTGGTCCGGAGGACATTTGCGGCAAGACTTACGCAAAGTGTGTCACCAAGGACAAGGAAACAATTAAGGAGCATGCATAATGGGTACTCAGTATATATCTACTACTGGAGTAGCTAGTATACCGGTACTGTACCGGTACCGAAGGCATCAATCCTGTGGAGCAAAAAAATAGCGACAGCTGCCGCGACTTGTTTCTTTCTAGCACAATGGCAGATGCTTCCTGGCTGCTGGAGCTCATTGTAATAGTAGTCTAACACTGCTCTTGACGGGCTTTCCCTGCAGTGTACAGGGTGGTAATAGTCGTGAGAGTTTCATGTTTCGTTGGTTGGGTCCTCCTGCATCGAAACGCATAATGAAAGACACGTCCAAGTATCCGTTCCAAAAGACAGACGAAGAATGGCGTGAGCAATTGACCAAGGAGGAGTTTTACGTGCTTCGTCAAGGCGGCACGGAAGCGTACGGGAAGGGTGAGTTTTGTAAGTTCTTTCCCAAAAATGGATATTTTTGCTGCAAGGCGTGCGACTTTCCTCTCTATTCGGCCGCTTCGAAATTCCACGACACGGGATGGGACGCCTATTCCAAGTCGTACTATTCCTCGAACAGCGACGGAGAAGAAAAGCCTCACATTGGAGTGAGGGGCATCGAGAGAGAAGTTTGTTGCAACAATTGCGGTAGCCATTTAGGTCATGTTTTTCATCATGGCAATGGAAAAGAACGACAATGAATCAACAGCATCTGCGTCGTCTACAAGAGCGAAGCAGATGCACCCCTTCCCAAGTTTGTACAAGGAGAAAACCCTCTCGGTGTGTTCTCCAGACTCGCCAGAAATTAAGTAGGGAGTCGAAAAGGAGCATGCAATTCATGCAAGGCTCGATCGTTCTAATCTGACCGCGAATGACACCCCCAAGAAGGATTTCCCTTGGGGTTTGATAGCGCTTGGACTGGAGGTCTTACATGCATGCAGACACATTCATTATTGCATTTATCATGATGGTTAGGATATAATATTGTTACCTATAGTTTCTGAAGTTATGCCCTGACACCACCATTCGTTCGTCAACACACACAGAAGGTCCACAATTCATCAGGGCCTCGTATTTGACCCCGAAAACATCCGAGCCACCACAAACGCACACGGCGCGGCCAACCGTCTCTTGGTTTCGTCCATGTTTTCCGAAAACTCTTCCTCTTGGAAATACTCTTGTCCCGTGCCAATTATTGTAGACACTGGGATCGTAAACGGTCCGATCGCTCAGGAGGCATAGTATACGCACGGCGTTTGTTAAAAGCCAACACAACATACGGTACAGGTCAGGCCGCACAGACAGCACACCAGAGCACACCTACCTGCTTGCTGTGGCACCATTTGTTTGCGTTCCGTATTTGTACCCCATCGTCCTCCTTTAGGGACTCTAAACGGAGGAGGCTGCTCGTGGCCGTAGCCAAGGGCACGACTCTCGGCAACCACTATCTGATGTCGAACACAACTCGGCTTGGTCCTGTTGGGAATCGGTCTGCTTGGAACAGGCTGCCACTTAGAGTGATTTTGGGGACGAGATTCGAGAAGTAGTCTATATTTCGAAGAGCCTAATGTTTTTGCATCCAAATTGAGTCCCACAAAAGCGACGCAGCGTCGCGACGCAGTGACGCAGCGACGTCGCAGCGACGTCGCTGCGTCGCTTTTGCGGGACTCAATTTAAATGAAACGGTTGATTTAAAATTGTAAAAATAGAATGCATGGTACTTTTTATAAAACGAGTTACTTTTTTATAAAAAAAGAGCGAGGGCTCGAGCCATCAAAGAGCTCTCCGCCCAATTAAGCCAGCGGATCTGTGTAACCTCGGCAGAAAGGTTTCAGTGTAGAAGCAGATACCCCTCACGGTATTTCGATCCACAGAAGGTCAAAGTATTGGTACAGAAAGTACAGCCGGACCGTCGTGCCGACATCGGCCTACCGCTGTAGAGCCACATTACACTACCGCTGTAGAGCCATTAGCCAATCAGAATCAATCGTTCGATCTTTTCGATGATGTCACCGACCACTGACGTCAGTCGTGCACAGGATTCGATTCCCGTCTTTCTCTGTGTCAGCTCGATCAGTCTCTCGTGGTGTTGTTTTCGTGTTGTTTTCGAAAGACCAACGGAGCATGCATCCAGAGGATTACCCACGGTCCAGAGGATTTCGAATTTGAGCGAGATAGTGAAGCAAGACCATACAACCGAGGTCATCCCGTCCGTATTCAGTAGCCACAGAGGTACTTACCGCAAGCCGAGGATATAGCCGCTTTCATCGCAATCCGAGGAAGCTGTATTCATCGTAATCCGTATTCAGTAGCCACAGAGGTACTTATCGCAAGACGATGAGTGTGACTTCCCCAATGTGGTCGACGAAAGCTACAATGAGCCTATTGGGATTTCCTATGGCAGGTGCAAGGACTGGCAGACAGTCAACCAACAGATTGACACCCTCATCCAGACTGGATCTTCAGTGTCTCCAGTGGCCCCAGCCATCACAGTTGCGCCCATTGCTTCAGTGGTCAATCCAACCACGCCTCCGGGGATCAGGCTGCCAGGAGACAGCAGGACAACACCACAATCTGCCAGCCCACCCACCATGCACGGCCCTCAGAACAATTGGAGCAGGAACCAGACCCCCATGTCCCTCTATCAGGTCAGTGTGGTCAACCAGTGGTTGGATTCTTCAAAAAAACTGAGTACAAAGCACTGGTAAATTGGGTGGCTAAAATGCGCTTCTTAGATGGAACACTATGGTAGCGCCGCCAACACGGACAACGTTGCCGAGCTTGCTGCCGAATCATTCGATCAAATGCACTTCAACATGATGGGGCAGGGCAACGCTGGTCTCAGGGGTAGGCTGAGGCCACAGCATGCCAAAGCTTTGCTCAGACAGGGGGGTATGCTGGTTCAGATGGCCGCCATCAATCAACATGCCACTGGAAAGAGAAAGGCTGCTCCAAAGCAAGGCGGTCTGACCAAAGCCAAGCTGTTGGACTCCTCCACAAGCTTCGCAGACATGAAGAATTGGGCCAGGGTCCTGGGAAAGTCCATCAAAAAGACAAAGCCAGAGATGAAAGAGGTTCTGCTGCAGTGCTTTGAGGGCCAGCCAGAAGGCCATGTGTTCCACTCCCATTAGCTAGCTTGGTGGTTGGGCCCCAAGGGCCCAATCTTTCAACTTCTAAGCCCCCTGCGGGGGCCCATCCTTTCAACTTCTAGCTTAAAAATTTTTCACTAAAAGCACCTTTGTTTTGCAGAAGATTGTTCCCGGAACAGCACATGTTTACCTTGTACTAGCTAGAGTATAAGATAATATTTATCTGGCCACAGGTACGAGCTGTCCATTGCAGCCAATGGGTGGGTACGTACTGGTAGTACGTAGCACAGCGTATGAGCTAGCTGCACAAGGCAGGATGGAGGCGCTCTTGATCTCTTCCATAGACTTTTGCCCTTTGATTATCTCAGCCTTTTTTCTCTTGCCATTCTTTCTTCTTGGGTTGTGCCGTTGGTCTGCTCACTCGGTTGTTCGGCTCACCCTCTTGCATTCTGCCCTCCTTATCTGGAACCCAAGACTTCTCATAGTCCACTCTAACCCATGTCGTAGCAGTCGATGTTCACAGATTGCCAAGGCGAAATGCCCTTGCAATTTTGAAATAATAGGATTCTTTTGGCTCTAGCTAGCTAGGCTAGCCAGTGCCACTGGCTAAGCTGGCTATTCTTCTTCCAAACCATAGGGCTGCAAATCACTCAGAGATTGAACGAGGAAAAATGTTCTAAGGCCGGTCTCTACCAGAGCGACTAAAGTAGCGACTAAGCCATATTTTGTAGTTTAGTCCATAGTTTAGTCTCTTGGGGTGGTGTCTACCCAAGCAACTAAACGTCATACGGACTAAAGCCTTTAGTCGAAATGTTGGTTCACGGACTAAAGGGAGGCCGGTTAGTCGGTGAGTGAATGTACCGACTAAGGCCGGTCTCTACTGGAGGGACTAAAGTAGTGACTAAAGGAATCCTTTAGGTGGTTGTTTAGTTCAAGATTTAGTCATTATCCTTTAGTAATGGTGGTGTCTACCAGCAGATGACTAAATCTCGGACTAAACAATTTAGTCAGTTCTTTAGTCATTTGGACCTGTCTACCCAGAGCACTAAACAAATGACTAAACGGAACACTAGTGGACTTAATTAAAGGACTCAAACAAGATTTAACAAAAGTGATCACTTGGTGGGCTACCAATATTCTATCAGCATGGTGGATTTAAAGGACTCAAACAAAGACTTAACAGAAGTGATTACTTTTTTGAGATAACAAGACTCAAAACACACCATTGCGATATTGCGATGCACCTCTCCTCTGTCTCGTTTTCACCTCTACTATCATTCAATTGTTCGATCGATCGTTTGCACCTCTACTATCATTCATTCGATCGTTTGCACCTCTACTATTAATACTACTAGTAGTATCATTCAATCGTTCGATCGATCGTTTGCACCTCTACTATCATTCATTCGATCGTTTGCACCTCTCCTCTATTGGCACTGATTCGATGGCCTAATAGTGAGGCTAGGAACTCCCACGGAGGCACCTCTGTGGTAATCCTGTTGGAATTTGTTATCCAACTCGGTGGCATGCAGCTGTATTGTTTCCTGTTGGATTTGCTGTTCTTAAAGAGGCCACTTCAAACTCTAATATCTATGCATATATGTAAGCATATGATGTCCTTCAACCGGGCTAGCTAACATGAACCTCTTCAAATGAGCTCGCCGAGACCTACCGCTCTTTTAGAGCTTGGTTTGTCAGAAAGATTCTTCAGCCCAATTATACCGATTTCTTCTTTGCCCCAAGGGTGTCGATCTCTAGTGTGAGCCACTGGCCCCAGCAGCGGCAATCTCGTCCAGCTTGGTGGCCACATTTTCATTGAACTTTTCCCAGCAAAAGGATGCAGAAAACGTAACATCTTCCTCCCAAATCTTTGCGCACTGGTAATGGCCAATGTAGTGCCAGAGTCTCTCGCTGGATTCAAGCTGGGCCTCTGTCCAAAAGAGGGCAATAGGGTTTTGCCCCAGAGACTCAAGTTGCTCTTTCACCTTGATGCGTTCTGGCCCTGGAAGCAGAAACGTAACTGTCAGCATTCCAGGAGTGTCCTCGTCCAGGGCTACAGAGCCAGCCTCCACAGACAGGTACGCCTTGTTGGGGGCAAGTCCAGCACCAGATCCAAACTTTTTCGTGAGCCCAATAGATTTCCAGGCTTGGTCCTGGTTGATTTCCTTTCGAGTTACCCCAATGCGAGAGTGCAAGAGCTGGCTAGTTGCCAGTTTCCCAGCTTCTGCAACGCGACGTGCTTCGGGAACCGCCAAATGATCAGGGCTGCAATAATCAACATTGTTGTGGGCTTTGTCAGTAGAAAGGCCAGGGCTGCGGCTATCGGGAACCACCGAACGATCAACGTCATTGTCCGCTTGGTCATCGGGGCTGCCAGTAGAAGCTCGAATATCGGGAACTTCCGAAACACCAGCAATATTGTCCGCTTGGCCACTAGAAAGGCCAGGGCTGCTGGTAGAAGCTCGACTATTGGTAAAAGCCGAATGATCAGACGCTTGGCCAGTAGAAAGATCAGGGCTGGTGGTAGCAGCTTGGCTATCGGGAACCGCCGAATGAGAAACAGATCATCGTTTTGAGGGTGTCGACTCAAGCTCTTCGTTGGCAACACGCTTCCGGTCAATTTGGTTGCTAAACGGTGAGGCAGCAACCGGCTGGTCTGCGGTGGCAGAAACCAGCTTGTCCGTTTCCAGACCTGACCCATCTCGAGGTTGATGCATGTCATTGTCGTTGGATTGGTTCTTAGTGTCAGTAGACGCTGGCCGGATAAGCCCAAAAACATTCTTGTTCACAGCTACTAGTCCAGTAGTTTCCACACCTTCTTGACAAGGAACAGTGCCATCGTCAGTGGATTTATTCTTCGAAACACCAGTGTCATGAGAGGCTGGCAGATTCAGCCCACAATCCTCCATTGGTAGATCACCACTGCCAGCTTCCTCCATGGATTCCTGATGGGGCCCTTCTCAAGGCGGTTGAATGACAGCATCGTTGGATTCGCTGCCATTGGATTCGTTCTCTGTAACAACATGGTGAGTGGTTTGATGGCTCGTTGTGCTATTCTTGGCGTCAGGGACTTTCTCGTCTTTGTCTCGCCGATCCTGATGCTGTTTCGTGGCCTGTTTCTTGTCATCTTCAGTGTTTTCACCGAGTGAGGCATGCTTCTTGTCTGGGCGCGTCTCCTGCAGTTCCGAAGCCTTGTCCTTGCCAGCATCGCGGTTTTCACTGCCAGTGACATGTTTCTGACCGCTGTTGAGACTTTTGCTGGCTTCAGTCTTGTTGTCTTCGGATACTCCCAGCATGGCCTTTGTTGTCTTGACACATGCAATCAGTTCTTTTGCAATCTTTTCAATCTCATCGAGTTCCTTGGGATCTTTTGAGGCGGCCACAAGAAAAAGTTTGGCTGGATGACAGCCTAGCAATGCTTCTTTGAGCTGGAACATGTGATCATCATTGGCACCCGACGGTTCCCGGCATGTTGTTGGGTTCTGAGGAGCAATCTGATGAATTGATGGGCCTGTCAATAGTCCATTGGTTTGTCTTTTAGCAGAAGCTTGTGCATTGGTCTGATCTTGAAGATGGGGTTTGTACCGGACCAAACATCCAAGTATTCCCTTTCTTCCCGAGATACCAATCTTGCTGCTTCTCATGTGACCAGCCAGTTCCTCGGCGCGTTTTGTTCTGACTACTTTTCCAGAAAAGTGCTTATTGTAGTGTATGATTGCCATGGGGAAGACACTCTGCAAGGGAAGTAGTTCATATCCATGTTTCCAAGCCTGAATAGCCACGGTGCCATTCTCAACGTCATAGGAGAATTTCTTTATTTGTTGGGCCAATGTTGATCGAACCGGATACAAGTGCTCGTGAACAGCAGAGAGGTCAAAGCTATCGTAAATATCCAATGCCCTTTGTACGCTGCCTGTTACATTGTGCTTGAAAATCATCATGAGGAGCATGATCAATCCTTCGCGGCTAAAAGGGGTGTGTTGTCGTCTTTTGGAACAAAGAAACTTCAGGACAGATTCTTCAAAGAAGTCTCGACTGACGCATCCCGGAGGAAGCTTCTCTTTCTCGAACAAGCCATCCAGATAAGCAATGTGATTGTCCACAAGCTGCTCCACAAAGTCCCGGGTAGGAGTGAAATCCTTGCCCAAGTGGAGTGCGGATCAAAGCCTGGTAGGCTGGGGAAGAGTGATTCCACTTTCGCTTTCACTTTCGACATATTGATCTTGTAGGCCACGGCTCAGATGCAACGAGAGGACACACCAACAGCAACAGCAGATAGTGGAGCAGAACGAACAGAGAGGAGGGTCTCTTGGAGGCTTCTCTTGCTGTGGATTGTGAGGGAGGTTTGGCTGTGGATTCATCATTCATCATTCGACGACGATATCTTTTAAAATTGTTGCCTCGCGGTACGAATCAAGCAGCAGAGTTGTCAAAAATGTTCCGGCTGCGGTTTTCAACGCGAGGTCCTGCGTCATACAGTCGTACCGGTACGGATATGTTACGGGACGATGCGGTAGGTATTCTGCTGCCTGTGTTGCTCTACCGGTAGCTAGTAGCAGTTTCACAAGTGGTGGTAAAATGGAACCACAAGAAAGATATTGGTACCAGTAAAGATTTTCTAAATGTAAGCCCACCGAGAAATGTTGTGCGGGGTTCACGGAATGGTTGTAGATTGAGTACGTTTGTACACGCATGTTTTGCATGATTGCTTCAGTCGCTGAACGGAATTCCCGCCGCCGCCAAGCGTTCCTCGTAGGTCTTCTGTTTCTTTTCCTCTTGCGGTGCTTCCTCTGACTCTTCAACTTCTTCTTCCAGTGCAACCACAGCCGTCACTTCGGGCACATAGTGCTGTAACATATTTTCCACGCCCTGTTTCAATGTGACACTGGAGGAAGGGCAACCAACACAGGAACCTGCCAGTTCCACCGTACAGAGTCCAGTTTCCTCTTCGAAACTGACATATCGGATATCGCCACCATCCTCTTGCACTGCCCATGTAAATCCAATTAAAAATGTGTTAGAACATGGAATAAATAGAGTTGTCGAAATCAATGCAAAAATAGCATGCACATACCTGCCGGTCGAATTCTGGATTCAATCAATTCCTTGATCATGGCCACTATTTCATCGTCGTCGTCGAGAATGGTGGTGTCAATAAATTCGGGTTGATCGAGGAGTGCCGGGACGTCCTCGTCAAAAAAGTTCATCAAGACATCTAGAATTTGCGGTCGCATTGACTTCCAGGGAGATCGAGCCACCTTGGTAATGGTGACAAAGTCGGCACCCAAATAGACCGCCTTGACTCCGTCAATTTGAAACAACTGCTTGGCCAAAGGCGATCGTAGAATGGATTCCTGAGGATCGCTCTTGCTCACAAAAAAGCCATTGACATCGCCGTCGGGCAAGACGACGATACCGGTGGGGACAAACTTGAGGGATTCTGGATTGGGTGTCTCGACGGATTGGACAAAGATGGATCGGGATGGAACCGATACGACAGGTTGTGGGCGTATGGTACTCCTCGTCTGGCCAGGAGTCGTATTTGCTACCAAATGAGACACAGAGCGACCAGTGGCCAACAGCACAGACGAGGAACGACCTCTGCCGGTTGCTGCAGAGAGTGCCCGCAATACCCTGGTGGAGTTCATCATCGTTGTTGCCGCCTTCTTCATGGTCGTCCCTTTTGATTTGGCTGGAGGTTGTGAGAATGCAACAGAGGTCGAAGACTTCAATCACGAAATGACGTTGCCTAACGACTGGATGCAAGGAATAAGCCATCCAGCCTGTATCAAAGATTTTGGAATTCTTAAAAAAAAGTAAGTGGAGAGAAGCCTCCTTCGATGCCTCTCAGAGAAGACACAAGTCCCAAGCAAGATACTCTACCAGTACCTACACGGACTAAGAGTGCCTGCCTCATCTGAATTATTGATGCTAAGCAGCTGAGCAGATGAATGCAGAAAGGGAGGCACAGTCTGAAACGACCAACTGTGCTGATGACTTCATGAATCAAACAGATGTTTGGATCAAGAAAATTCTACCTTTCGTCGGCTTCGGACAGTATGCGTTTGTGGCGCCAGTCTGCCACAGAATGAATCATCTCTACAAAGCCTTTTGTGTAACTGTCAAAGATCCTCCAAAAATCAAAATTGGAGATGACGACAGTTGGTTTGAGAATTCTGCAACCCCTACAGACACTTTCTATGGATCAACTTTCTCCAATCTGTCCACTGCCGAGTATTGGTATGCCTACAGCCCCACTGGCACTCGAGGAGATTTTGACGTCTGTGCCAAAGCAGCCAAATTGGGTAGTCTTGTCATTATTCAATGGGCCATAGAAAAAGGCTTTGTTTGGTCAGAAAGAACATGTGATAATGCTGCAGCAAATGGTCATTTGGAAGTTTTAAAGTATGCCCATGAGTGTGGCTGTCCATGGCATTATCGCACAAGCAGCCATGCATCTCGGAATGGGCAGTTGGATATCTTAAAGTATCTCTATGCAAATGCATGTCCATGGGAAGAAGCCACTTGCATGTTTGCTGCCAAAAATGGTCATCTGGAATGCCTGAAATTTGCTCATGAAAATGGTTGTCCATGGGACAACCGTACATGTAGTAGAGCCGCTGAAAATGGACATCTTGGATGCCTCAAATATGCCCATGAAAATGGGTGTTCTTGGAATTCAAGGACATCCTGCAACGCTGCTGAGAATGGGCACTTGGAATGCCTAAAGTATGCCCACGAAAATGGATGTCTGTGGGATTCATTAACATGCTGCACTGCTGGCAGGTTCGGCCATCTGGAGGTGCTAAAATATGCCCATGAAAACGGTTGTCCATGGGATGCATACACCTGCAGCAATGCTGCTGAAAATGGCCACTTGGATATCCTAAAATATGCTCATGAAAATGGCTGTCCTTGGAACCCAGAAACATGCTGCAATGCCGCTGGATTTGGCGTTTTGGAACTACTAAAATATGCTCACAAGAACAACTGTCCATGGGATGAGGGCACATGCATGCGTGCTGCTGCAGGTGGCCATTTGCTGTGCTTAAAATACGCTCATGAAAATGAATGTCCATGGAATGCACACACATGCAACAGTGCTGCTGAAAATGGCCATATGGAGACCCTGAAATATGCCCATGAAAATGGGTGTTCTTGGGATGAACACACATCCTGCAAAGCTGCTGGATATGGAGGCTTAAACGTCCTGAAGTATGTCCATGAAAAGGGATGTCCATGGGATGAACAACATGCCTTCTTGCTGCTGGAAATGGCCGTGTGGACACCCTCCAATATGCCCATGAAAATGGATGTCCATGGGATAAAGACACATGCCAGCGTGCTGCTGTTTATGGCCAGTTAGAGTGCCTCAAATATGCAATTGAAAATGGCTGCCCTTGGAATGATACTGATTTGTTGGCAAGTAGTGATGTCCGGGTAAAGGCGTGGGTGGCAGACTTTATATCCCAGAGGAGAGCCTGAAGATCTGAAGATCACCTGGTCGTAGAACACAACTTGCTGGCTTGGGTTGCCTTTCCCTTCCTCACAATTTGTAAAATTTTTGAGTCTCATTTGTCGACGGAAGCTGTCTGTCGTAGAAGAATCTCTTATCCTGGAGGTTGCTGCCATGATAGTTCGAAGGTGCAGTATCTCAACAGAATCATCGCTCCATCATCCATCATGCCACCGTTGTCTCACTGGGGATCGAAGGTGGGAGTGTATACTAGTAACAACATTTTTCATATCTGGAGCCATTTGGCTAGTATGTATGCAGCAGAAGGAACGTCTCAATATCGCAGTACGTACTAGATTCGTTATCTTGACCTGCTTCTTTTGGTTTTTTCTCTAGCAACAAACAGTTTGACTGTTCTCGAGTGCCATCGCAGCGAGCTGCCAGCAGCAAATCTCAAACCCTCCGACAACGTCGCCTTGTATCGAAAGTGGAATCCAACTTTCCTTGAGGCAACAAACGAATTTGTTGGCGGAAGCAATTTCACGGCCTCCAAATCAATCCAGCGGAAGTTCCGAGTTGCCTTCGATCTTGCATTTGATTCAGTGAAGGGCCACGCTACCGATAGCTCGCTCGGAGGTAGCCAACATTGTCTGCTTGAGCTTCTAAGCTGCTTTCTTTGAGGAGGAAGACGTCTTTCTAGCGATCTCTAAAGAGATCATTGGCTGTCTCATTTGGATGCATCATCATCGAGCGTTTGGCCTCCTTGGGCTCGAACCTCCACCGAAACATCGAAACAGCCCACGTGGGAGTGTGGGGGGTGGGAGTCTCCACCGACTGCTCAACATGTCCAAGAGGAGCTGCCGTCAGAGCTTTGTGCCTCGTCACCACAGTTTAGGCCTTGAGCGAGTACTATTACGTTCTAATCAAAAATTAGTCGTGGAGTATCTTCAAGTTCCTCATATTTCCATTTGCACCAGATCTTGGAAAGCATGAATGGGAAAGAATAAAATGAAACAGTCTGCAACCATCCGCGGTCCGTGGGTGGTGTGTGGTACAAGATGAATGTACGTACCAGAACATACAGTACTAGTAATATCATGCGGAAGTGGCATCCGCTTGCGTAGGCCTTTTTTAACCTGATACGTGGATACCTCTGGAGCTTCAAGCGGCGGAGTACAGTACGAAACAGGGATCGCTAACCAATTGGTTGGGTGCTGGTTACTGGTTACTGGTTGAGTAACCAGTTCTGCTAGGGTACCGGTTACCGGTTACTGGTTGAGTAACCAGTTCTGCTAGGGTACCGGTTACTGGTTACTGGTTGAGTAACCAAAACTTTTGGTTGTTTTATAGGTAAGTAACCAGTAACCACTGGTTAGTAACCAATTGCAAGTGGTTACCTTGAGGGTCTGAACATGCAGCGCAAGACTTTTGTGTTGTTTGCTCATGTCACATATCGTACTTACCCTAGTCAACCACAGCTTAGGTAAACGAACAATCTAGATAGTGTCTCTATTGTCTACTAGTTGTGTTACTACTAGCATTTGCTAGTAAAACGTGCTGTTTGGGCTTTGTAGAGTACCTGAGGGTGTCCGGCATGAAGGGGAAAGTTGAACTAAGTTTTCATATGTATAAATGAGATTCCTGAATGGTGGGGTCAGCACCAAGACTCTATCTAGTGGATTCAATCTACGATTTTGGCCCAAAATGGCCAAAAGCGCAGCCAAAAAGGTGCTGTTTGGGCTTTGTAAAGTATCTGAGTGTGTCTAGCATGAAGGGGAGAGTTGAAATAACTTTTCATATATATAAATGAGATTCCTGAATAGTGGGGTCAGCACCAAGACTCTATCTAGTGGATTCAATGTACGATTTGGACCTTTGCCATGTATATTGTGCAACAGCAGTCGACAACTATACCACCAGGTTAGAAGAAGCCCATGGACATTGATCCCATAGAAGATGGACTCCCAATATAGTATAGAAACATAGAATACAACAACATTCAGCATAGGTGGGCCCTAATACAGAGAACAGCCCGATATGGCCCCGTTTTGACATTGTACCGCCCCAATTCCGGGTCGATATGGGCTACAGAAGCTATACTACAAGTTCCAGCCCCACCCACAGCATCCAGATTGTCCATCTATATATATAAGAAGTTAGTTCAGCTGTCTCTTTCATGCCATGCACCCCAACACCTTGGCGATCATCTACGAGTTGTTTTATTAGCAAATCCTAGTAAAGAGTAACCAATTGGGTAACCAGTTTGGTAACCGGTAACCAATCGCAAAGTAACCGGTAACCAATCGAAAAGTAACCAATTGTTTGGGTACTGGTTACTGGTTACTGGTTGAGTAACCAGTTCTGCTAGGGTACCGGTTACCGGTTACCGGTTGAGTAACCAAATCACTCAACCGGTAACCGAATGCCAAATAACCGGTAACCGAAAGTTTCGGTTAGCGAACCCTGGTACGAAAGTGCGATTGTACGATTGTACGTTTTTCGCAGCAGATGCCACATCGTTCGTCTTCTAGAACTTTCCAAAGAGCGATGCTTCTCTTCGGTGGCCAGAGCAATTGCAAGCGTTGGAGGCATTTCCCAAATTTTTGCCTGCCAGATGTGCTTCGCATATTTCTACTATCACAAAATAGAGCACACAACCTGTGAGGAACAACCAAATCGTCAATTGGCATTACAACTCTATTGCGAACGCCAATCTAAAGTAAAGTAAGCCTCAGACCTTCTTGATAGTATCATTGACTGGAACCAGTTTATGCGAACAGCGCTGTTCTTGCAACCAGATCCATCACACAAATTTCCAACAACGAGAAAGAAAGAATCGAATCGACCAATCGTGTACCCAACGAGAAACTGCATTCACTTCCGGATAATGCAAGACGTTGCCCCCATCATGACAATGAACACCCCGCCATCTCCATTCGGCGCTGACTCTGTGTTGGCAGCCATGTTGCGCCAAGAAGAAGCTTACTTGAGCGATGACTATCTCTACCAGCAGAACGAACTACCTCAGTCGGTCATCAGCGGTCCTTTGCACACCATCGAACAGGACCGCGCCAAGATGGTCGGATGGCAGTACCAAGTGGCCGACTTTTGCCGCTTTAACCGAGAAACCGTTGCAATCTCCACCTCTTACTTTGACCGATTCCTCGCCAAGGATTCTGCGACAGAGGCTCTTGCCAACACGGACCTCTTCCAACTGGCTGCCATGACTTGCTTTTACACTGCCGCCAAGATTCACGAACCGGAGTCCTTCGAACCCTGGATGCTCTCCAAAATGAGTCGAGGATTGTACTCTGCTCAGCAAGTGGAAAAAATGGAAAGCGTCATTCTCAAAGCCGTTGAATGGAGAATGAATCCTCCCACTCCCTTGGCGTTTGTTCGAGAGCTTTTGGAGCTCTTGCCCGAAAGTTATCTTAGCGAGGAAATGAGACCGGCCGTGTACGACTTGTGCAAGTTCCAGACAGAACTATGCGTGCGAATCTACGAGTTTGTACCCATCAAGGCGTCCACCATTGCCATGGCCGCGCTCCTGAATGCCCTGGAATCTCTGGGCGTGGACTACTCCGCTCTGGGATTTATCGAGGCCTTTTTGGCTCGGTCCATCAAGGACGCTGGCATGATGCTCGATGTTCGTGAGGACATTCAAAACCGTCTCTACCAGGCTGTCACGGAGTTTTCCGGTATTCACACCGAAGCCGCCACCAGCAGCACCGCCTACCCTGCCAAGCAAACCCTTTGCAAACGATCGTCACCTCAGACTTCGCCCTGCACCGTCTATACTACAGCTACCACTGTACAATGACCACAACCAACAATTGTGTTACATGTTCTATATGTTACTGCTACTGGACAGTCCGGTAGCTCTGTGAATTACATGGAGGAGTTAAATCAACCTATAATTGACCGTTTCATTATCATCAAAGGCTTTACTTCTAGAACATCGTCTATTGGCTTTGTAGAACCATTTCTTCACTAGCAGTTTTCCCAGCTGATGGCTGCTATCTTGGCACTAGCTAGCCAACGATGCCTGAGGCTGCCTGCAATACAAAGGATGGATAGATACCATCTTGACCCTGGCTAAAGATACCTTCAGCTGCCTACACGACAAGGCAACTCCCGCAGCAAATTGGAGTATCTTGGGGCGGGGGTGGAACGCATGTTGGAGTCTCCGGACAGCCCCTGAGGTGTCCGCTGGTTACGGTACCACAATACGGAGTATCTTGCTCTGTTGCACAGTGCTAGCTAGCTAGTAGGTACCGGTTGCTTGCTTGGTTGCTGAGTGGATCTAAAACATCACCCGTTCGTGTGTTCTAACGGAAAATATGGTCGATGACATACCCATTGCACTTGCCATCATCAGAGCCAAGCCCACTGACCTCATCGAGAAAGACATTGATGTGGCAAGATGGCTTGAAATATGTATTAGAAGAGGCCATTGGAAGAGTTGAAGGTGATTGAGTTGCGTGGCTGGCCTGCAGGATGATGTTCAACAAAACGCCTTGCGGCTTGCCCATTGGTTGCAGATAGTCTAGGTAGCAACCAGGCACTGTGATGTAAGATATCATTCAAGAACCTTCGTTTTATCTGGTTGAATACGTAGTCATCTGCACGATGGTGCCGCGAAGCGGTACTGGTACCGGTTGTGGTGTGTCGGAGTGAGTGTGTCATGTGCAGTCAGCCTTTCGCCCTTCACGAATTGAATTGGTGGTTGGTGTGGTGAATGACATGAGTGACGTGGTTCAACTTTGTCCCTCCCGGACAAACTAGATAGACGTCAGTCAACTTATCAGTGATTTAATCAAGTCACGACAAACTTCTGTCACGTTTTCTATGCTTCTCATGACTGACTAGCCAGAGAGGGGTTTGTGGCCACATTTCAAGTGCTTTGGATCCTTGGTGGGAAAGATCCAATGAGATTGCAAGAAACCCAAAACCTGAAAGCAGAACGCATTTCATCCAAGCAATCCGCAAGGCAGGCAAAGATCTTAAGCAGGCGTATTCATTGAGCAGTCAGATTTGAGCCACCATAGAAAGCAAATTGTTAGTTTGAACCATGAGTTTGAAGTCCCCCAGTTGGGTTCCGTTTGTGGCCCTGACCGCAGTGACTACCACCGGTTTTTTGGCCTACTACTACCATCTGCAGAGCAAGAAGTTGATTGACAACAAACCAACTCCTACGAAAAGCAGCAAACAGAAGGACTCAAGGTCCTCAACGGCCTCTTCCAAGAAAAATGAAAATCAAAGTCGTGCAGGAAAGGGATTAGAGAAGGCACCTATCGCCACCACGGAAGCGATTCCCACCTCCAAAGAAACCAGCACCGAAGTTGCTTCGACACCTGAAGTCACTGCATCGGGTAGAGCAAGTGCTTCTATCGACCAAGAAGACAAACCAAGGGAGAATTCTACAAACGATGACCACGCCAAGTCAAACGATTACCATGATGTGGACAGAGCTGAAACCGTTTCGGAACAACCCCTTGGCAACGCTGCCTCAGAAGCACCTGTTGAGGTCGCCCTTGCAAAAAAGGAGGAATCAGAGCCTCCGAATGATGCGAAGACTTCTGAGGTTGCTGCTACCAGTGCCGACCAGAAAATGGAGCCAGCTGTGACCGAAAACAAAACTGATTCCGCTGAGGATATAGTCGCGGACAGTGATGCTAAACTGGAACCAGTTGCTGCTGCCAACATCGAGATTGATGCAACCGTGGTGGCAGCCGAATTAGTTGGAGAGGTCCCCACAAAAAATATCGAAGCCACTAAGCCTCAGGATGGAAGATTTAATGCAGAAGAGGCGGGAAATATTGATGAGAACAAAATGGAATCCACTGGTACTCAAAATGAGGGCATTTCTAGGGATGGAGTACCTGTAGAAAGCAATAAGCAGGATGAGGCAACACCAGACGAATCAGAGGTGTTGAAAGAACCTCCAGTGGAGACTGCTGCCGATACTGTCACAGCTGAAGGAACAGCTTCGCAGAAAGATACAATGGATGCTGTTGAGCCGACAAAGGAAGTAGATCCGAAAAATTCTGATGAGCCAACAAAGGAGGAGGACGTACCAGCATCCGAGCAAACTAACGTTTCGGATGAAACAACTGCTGAAGCCGCCGTAGCAGAGGCATTGGTGGATTTGAAGAAAGTTGCTGAGCAGGAAGCGGGCAAAGACGAATCATTGGCGGCCACAGCAGAAAACGATGATGCGGTCGGAGCAAAGGACAGCACCGAGGAGAAAGCTCCGCCTTCCTCGGACGAGGCAGCAGCAGCAGCAGCAACTACGGAGAAGGTCATGGCGACCCCCACAAAAGAGGCAACGAATAATGAAGAGACTATCCAAACCACAAAGCCCGCGGACGATGAAGAACAGCCAACTCCAGAAACTCCTCCTGCGGCTGTGACACCCACCAAGAACGTGGAAACACCGGTCACAGCAACTACCACTCCTTCCGTCGACGCAGAAACACCTGTACCTGTGACCCCCGACGAGGATGACAAGACGGAGCTGAAAGAGACCGATTTGTGGGACTTCCTGCAAAAAGAAATACAACAGAGTCGTCGATGTGCAGGATGTAGTAAGGAAGAAGGCGACGCAAAGTTCAAACCGTGCGCCAAGTGCAAGTCGGCTCTTTATTGCGGCAGACCATGTCAGAAGAAGCATTGGAAGCAACACAAGAAAGTTTGCTGCAAGTAATGTACACAACGGTTACTTATATAATATAGAAAGTTGACCAACGTAATGGCAAGGGATTACTACACTAAAGGCTCGACAACCTCTGTCTTTGTGATATCATAGACAGAAGATGCGGCTAGTCATGCTGACTGTCACAAACTATTTCCTCCTTTGTCAGCTATGATTTCTTCTGAGCGAAGGTTAGCGTGTAGAGTGAACAGTTCCTTTGACATCAATAGAACAGAAAGCATGTTCCAATGCGTTGCCCCCGGATAATGTAGCGGATTGATTCCTGATCTGATCCGATCAGACTACCTTGACCAAATGGATGAGCCGTTTCAACTCGCTCGATTCTCTGGTCCCCTCATCTTGGTCACGTCAATTTCGACGTCTCTTGTTTTCCGGAACCAAGCGGAATGTCGATCAATGCGGTTGATCTTTTCGGTGATCCCTTGGTCCTGCTTGAAATGAAGCCAAAACTTTAACACATCGGGATGGCTAAAGACATCATCGAAAATGACAATCCCACCCACCGGAACCTTTGCATACAAGCTGTACATGGAAGATTGATACGAATCATAGAAATTCCCGTCCACGCGTAGCACCGCAATGGATCCCAAATCGTCATTGAATTTCAATGCGGGGGCCGTGTTTTGGAACATGCCCTTGACAAAGTAGACCCGATCGCTCAAGACGTGAAAGAAGTCAAAGTTGTCTCGCACCATTTGCTCAGTCGTGGCGAGATAGTCTGAGGCACCGGCGTACGTCCCGGGAGGCAAGGTTTCAAAGGCATCGACAACCCATAAATTGCGTGGATACTGAGCATCATTGGAGACGGCAGCGGCCATAATCATGGAGCCACCTCTCCAAACACCCAATTCCATAATCGCTCCAGGAATCTGGTTGCGATTGACTTCTTCAATGGCAGCTCGGAAGTTTTCAAGCCGCTTGTATCCAACCATGGTGTATCCATAGGGCGGCCAGTCGTTCCCGTAGTTTCGTTCCTCGGGAGTGTAGGGCAGCGCCGTTTTGCAACCATCGATCAGATTGCATTTGCCATGGTTGGGAAAGCCTACGACAGTCTTCATGATGAGATCAATGTAAGGGGATGGCTCGTGGTAGACAAGACATTGTTCCGATTCCATGGTGGCATCGGGTGTGTAGCGGACATGTATGTCGTCGTTGATTTGAACATCTAGGCAGACTTTGGGCTTTGACGGAGAAGACGAGGAAGAGGAAGTAGCAGTGCCTCGAATGGAGTTGCCCCCATGTTGGTTGATATTATGCTTCAGGTATGCAATGGATGGTTCAAATCGACTGCCTCCCGAGAGGATCAAGACCAGAATGAGGATACACAGCAGGGCAAGTCTCTCGGTCTGATTGTGGGATGCCTCTGTCTTCTGTGAGGATTGTTCCGTGCTGGAATGAGAGTGGTGACACAGCTTGTCGCTATCGGTCTGTGCTCCCGCACTTCCATGGCTGTTCCTGGATGTCATTGCCATTGTAGAACTCATTACTGTTATTCTCTTGGGGATTTCAGATGTTAGGTTATGCGCTTTCTCTCTCCTGTTTGCCCCAGCAGGACGAGTACTAGTACCCTTGCCAGACTTCTTTCGCATGATCAAAACAGCCAACAAGAGTGGCAAGCCAACAAGAGTGGCAAGTCTTTGGAGCAGGCCAAATTTTCTGTTTCTGTGATCGATAGCAGGGTTGTCCACCGTGCCGATACCGGTACTGTAGCCTTTTTAAAACCTTCCCCACAAAAAAGAGAAAGAGAAACGTGGTTCTTCGCGCGAAAAAAGGGCGCGCTTGGTCCTGTTTCATTTTCCCAAAATCAGAAGGAAATAATCATTTTTCATTTTTTCATTTTGACGTCCTGGCTACGCTCCAATCTGACTTCCTCTCGATACTGAGACAACCGCACTCGATCCACACCCTTATCCCTCGCTACTTTGCGATACTATGCTGAGACGTTGAGAAGACAAGTAGAGCAAGTAGAGCAAGTAGCAAGAGTACATTAGTAAGAGAATCAGAGGATGTCACAGCAGCAAGGCTCTTGGTTAATGAACACCTATGCTTCGTTCCATAGAAGGCATGAACGGCTCAAGAATTACGTCCACAATGGATTCCGATACCCCTTACCACCATGGGGCCGAGCAGTGATGGGCTTCGTCTACTTTTCACTCCCAGTGATTGGTGGCTATCACGTAATGCAATGGGCTATCTCCAAGTCGCATGAGGAAATTGGAGAAAGAGGTTCGTGTCTGCCGTAACGGTAGTTCCAATGGATGTTACCGCTACCCCCAGGCAATATTGCACTCACACGAAGGATTGCCACTCACACGGGCTCCCATATTATTCATTCCTGTTTGTGTGGTGTTTTAGGAGAAAAGCTACGGAACAAGCGCATCGAAGGGATTGGCGACAAAGTGGTGGTAGATGAGGCCACCGGTCAAACAAAAAAGGTCGGAGCGGGTGGTTGGGGTGGTGGCGTCAATTTGGCCGTCAGCAACGAAACCATCCAAGAGCGCAATCTAAGAAGGCTGAAAAAGTGGTTGAAGAAGCAGCGCAAATTAAAAAGGAAAAGGGAGAAGGAAGATGCTGCAAAGCTACAACAAACATTAGCAAGCAAGAACACAGATAGCTGAGCGACGAGGATGGCAGCCAACAAGCAACAAACAGAACATGCATGAGTGGCGAGGAGGAAGGCAGCCGTCCAACCAACCGATCAGCCACGCAGCATATTCTTGAATGACATGATTGAATGGATCAGCCATAGACCTGTCAGGATCCAGGAATTGCTTCTGATCTTCTGGGCAATCAGTGGTGACTGGTGTTTCGAAGATGACTGACCTGAACACGGGATTATGCCTGCTCTTCATGACTTTCTTCAAGCAAGCAGCCAATGAAGGCAGGAAGTTTCGACCTGCATTTCAATCTGCTAATGAGATATCTAACGACAGACCTTTATGCGCCTGCGAGAGATGCTGCAATGATGGCTAGCTAGTAGCGATGCACGACATGATGGGAGATCGGAAAGTAGGATAACCATAGAATATCTGCCATGCGTCGCTATCATAGAATATCTTCCGGCGCAATGTTCTGAGAAGATGGACTAACCTCTGGCAGCAACTTCAAGAAGCTGTCTTCTAAAGTCCCAAAAGGACCCAAGACGTATGATATCATCCATGGTCCAAGGACAACCTGCAACTCGCAGTGTCCCACGACACCATCTCAAATATGTACTGTTCCTCTCGCGAATCACTTTTCACCTAATATACGAAGCTATAGTTTATCTCTAATATAGGCGAACAAGGCGATGTTTTCCTGCCTGCCGAAAAAAGGCGGGGAATTAAAACAGTATGTTCATTTCTCGTTTCTTTTTTATTCAAGGAACATGAAAAGTAGCTTCTTAGATTCCCTGGGGCAGGAAGTATCCAGCACGTGCGTAGTAATCGGGAGCAGAGAAAGCAGGTCCCAATTGGTCAAGGACACCAACACCGGAGGCATTGGCTTGCCAGATAAGTCCAAGAAGAGCAATCATAGCCAGACGTCCGTGCTTGGTCTCTTGCACTTGCTTCTCGTAGTATTCTTCTGGGGAGTAGTTGAATCCGAAGGGGTTGAATCCTCCTTGTCCCCAACCGTAGTCACCGGGAGTGTAGCTGGATCCCAATTCTCGGATTCGGCTAATGCGGAACAAGTCAACAAATCCCATGAAGGCAATGGTTTGCCAGACACCGGCGTATGGGACCTCGTCGAAGGCAGCAAGGGGGTTGGAGCTGACTCCCTCAAGACCGGGAAGACGAGTGAATCCAGGGAAGATGAATCCGAGGACGGCCATTTGTGCGATACGTCCGTGCATCAATTCGGCTTCACGGTACCATTCAAGTCCAGAAAGACCTGGGTTGCCAACGAAGTTAAGTCCGTTGAAGTAGTCAGCCATCAAGTCAGCCTTTGTGGAAAGGAAGCATGGGTCGAAACCGACATCACCGGGAAGGCTTCCATCAAGAGCAGCAGGGGCGTTCTCGTAAGGAAGAGCCTTGGATGGGACAGTGCCGCCACTGGAGGCCTTGATCTGGAAGTCGAAAAATCGCAAGATCTCACATCAGTATCTTTCCGTACAGAGAAAATCCTATCTAAACACTGTTACAGCACATACCTTAGGAGCAGACTTTTTGCCAACAGCAAAGGTCATGGTGGGGGTGGTGTAGGCAGCGGCAGAGCCGGCAAGGAGAGCAAAGACGGAGAGCTTCATGTTGACTGTAGGGTGTTTATTGATTGACAAAGAGCGAAGTTGTAACAACAAATCGAAGACAACAAGCCCTTGACCTTGGATCCCTTCATTCTGGACGCTTCGGCGGTTACATACGTCGTTGTTCAACTTGAACTCTCGCTTCTTTGGATCGCGAGATATGCATTCGTGGCGAGCTATTTGAGGCGATAAAGTTGATCTTCTAATAGAAACAGCAAGACGAGCTCTGGACAAATTCTGAAGAATGTTGTCGTCTCATTGGACCAGAACTCATGAAGGTGACGTCGACAACGAAGATAGGGTTTGGGCCACAAGTGGTTAGTGGGACCCTCACTTGCTCCTCGTACGGAGGGCTCCACCTGGAACCGACACAACTCAGCCGAGGCAAGTCGAGCCAAACCAAGCAAAGTCGAGAAGTGCCAAGCTGAACCCATCGTGACGCTCCGCCGCGCCATGGCCATCCAGCCCAGCTGGAATAATGTGTGCGTCGTGCCCGTTTCCTACAAAGCGTTAGTTCACGATCAAGACTCATTAAAAATTGAGGTTCGAAAAATTTGGCTACGTCCGGCAGGCTCGTCACCTCACAAACAGCAGGAGGGACCCAAAGGGAGTGCCATCATCGTCAAGAACCAGGCAAAGGAACATGATGGTGACCCACAGAAAATCAGCGTCAAACTTCCACCCAGTTGACAGAAAGATGAGGAGTGATTCTAGCAACAATAGCAACAGCGTGCAAGATGTCAGGATGGACAAGGAGAATCGTATTCGACATCTCCTGAATCGACAAGGATCTACCTGGCAGTTGCGAGAGATGGCCTTGACACGCGGAGGTCTCGTCAATGGTAGGCAAATGTGCTTCTCTCGTGGGAAAGACCATGTGATGTGCGATGGTAGCGTGTGTGAATCTTACGTTGCTGTTTGCTTGTCGACCTGTGGATGAATGAATGATGCAGCGGAACTACGACAACAGATTTGGCCGCTGCTGGCGGGGCTCGAAGATGACAAGGTTCCGTCGTGGATGGAGACAACCGCCCAACTGTTTGAACCCACCACAGAAGTCTACTGCGAAGCCGAGGACCGTGAACGAGATTTGATCCGTCGTGACGTGGGTCGCTCAGTACTATTTCATCATTCCTGTCCTAGTCCCAACTCGGTCATGGCGCCCGATGATTCTTCCGTGGCGTTGTCCATCAAATCCAACCCCGAATACACCACTTCCACGCTAGCATCGGTGTTGACGGCCACCATTTCCGCTCCACTGGAGGATGGAGACAAACCTCATTACTACCAAGGATTGCACGACATTGGTGGAGTCTTGTTACACAATCTCGATTACAATGAAATCTTTTGCACGGCCATTCTCCGAAAACTCTGCCAGACACATCTTCGCGACTGTGCCCGAGAAACTTTTATCGACTTGCAACACTTCCTCAATGCGTGCCTACTGCCTGTAGTCGGTATGATTGATCCACCCGTCCACGAAACACTACTCCTATCGGGTGTCCCCTTGTTGTCTACCGTCTTGCCCTGGTTGTTGACATGGTTCACGCATTCCATTCACGACGAACAAGATTCGAGTCGATTGGTGGACGCCTTCATGGCATCCCATCCTCTGTTGCCGTTTTATGTGTCCATTGCCTTGTTGGTACATCGCAAACTGCGCATGGACATTCTGACGACCGAACTAGATGACCCCAGTTCCATGCACTTTTGCATTCAAAACCTACCCTCCAGAATCAAGTCCGATTGGTCGCATGAAAATAGTGGATTGTACTTGTCGACGCAGGAGCTGATTGAAACGGCACTCTCCATCATGTAAGTTCTTAGTGAGGCGAAGGCGATCTTAATGTAGCATGCAGGATACGATACTCACGATGATATGCAACCACAGGAAACAAGTTCCGCCCAAGACGCTGCTCAACCTGGTGAATGACCCTGGTCTGGCCGAACGAATGGTCTTGTTGCAGTCCCCTCCGGTCATCGTTGCTCCTTCTTCTTGCACTGCTGAAACCTGTTCACGCGCCAAAATGGCCAGCGGAGTGTCCGTCTACATGGCTACACAACAACCAGATGTCGTGGGAAAGTGGCTCAGGCCCTTTGGCCCCCCTCCTTGTCCCTTTCCTCCGCCGTCTCCCACGGCACAACCAACTCGGCGCCCCACTACCCAACTGAGAAGGATTCGCAATCGATTACGACAAGTCAGGCGTCTTCTGCCAAAAACCAGGGAAGGATGGATCTTCTTTGCCTATTTTTCATTTATCTTCTTGTATTCTCTGTACGACTTTATACATTACTCATGGGTGCTCTTTGCCACCCGTCTCGCGACTCGGGCCCATTGAAAGAACAAACAAGCTACAACAATACACTTGCGGTCGACGCATTCTGTGGATGAGACCCAAAGAGCGTTGTTCTTCCTGTCGTGTGCTCAAGTGACCACGACGGTGCAGGTCCAGACAATCCATGTTCCGTTCATCATACTCTCTCTATATTATTTTGTCCGATTCATACACAACAAAATCTGTATTTGATTGAAAGAAGTGGAAGCTCGATGGTGCCGTAGCATGGAAGGAAGGGGCAGCTGCGTGCCTGCGAGATCATACATGAGCTTCCCACTGCCCAACACGGAACTTCCAAGCCGTGCCTTGGATGACCAGCTATTCTAGCGTTTAATGGTAACGGGTCTATTTGCTGGTACATGTTGCTTTGTCGTTGGCTCGCCACAGAATTAGGAGCTGGAAAGGATCATTGGATCCGTTGCAGCGAACGACCAGAATGGGACAAGATTCTAGCTAGCTAGAGTATCGGTACCAACTTACATCGTACTGTACAGACTGTAGATTGAAGACACCGTCTGCGTCAGCTGGAGGGCCTTCTTCCTACACAAGACAACGCAGTCAACTCCCATGGGAAGTGCCCCAGTTTCCCTTCATATCCACTCATTGGGATGGATTTGCATGTGGCACAACTCACTCTGATCGAGCGAACAAATAAATTTGCTTTCCGTTTGCGACTGGGACGCTTCTCTGCTACCAGATAGTGTTCCCTGCTACTAGTAGTGCCGTCTACTTGGATGTTTTTGCCACAGGGTCCACTTTCCCGGGGCTTCTCTGAGGACACCATAGAGCACCTTCACAAGCTCTGGGCCTGTCTATATTCCGTTGCAACATGTCAACTTCTCAACAACGTCCAACATTGGTTTCTTTGGGTCTCGCACAATCCCTCTTCCATCATGCGATCCCGGTACAACTCAACCTCCCTCCGAGTAATTAGCTTGAGGTCAAACCGTCGGAGGACCATGGAATTACTACCCGCTGCTGCCATCGCATCAAAAATTGGCAAAAAGAAGCCATTAGATAACCTGCTTTTCAGGATGGTGAGGGACTCCAATTCCCCCAAAGCTAGGAGGCCACATACAGTTTGCCTCAAATCTGCGTCAATCAGGTCTCCAAAGCACAGTGGTAATGTCAAATGCTTGAGATTTGTCATTTTTCCTATTGTTGTATTCAATGCAGATCTCAAATCTTCATGCTTTGAATCGCACGGGTTTGGATATCCCTGCCTGATGTATTCAATAGGAACTTTGATTGATTCGGTACTGCTCGGAATGGTCTGTATCATCTTGGTCATTGTACTCTCCACGATATTTGTGCACTCGCAAGCAAAAGAAAACGGACTCTTGGAATCTTTTCCTGTTGGTGTCCATGAGGCTTTAGGAAACAAAGGAAACAGAAGGCTGAAAGCATCCCCTTCAAAATATTGATCATCTTTGAGTATTTCTATCATTTCAGCAGCAATTGCTTCATCTTGGTATACATCTGGTGCCACCAGTTCCTTCAGAAACGCAATCACCTCAGGACTCGCAGTGTGTCGGCACGCATCCAAAAAGACATCATTGTTCATTTGAGCTTTGTCAAATTCGTATACAAGCTGGACGATCTCCAGTGAGGCGTTGGTCACAACCAAGGTGTGAAGAGGGGAAGTAGCCTGCAGTTGATGCAGACACACAGGGTACATTCTTTCTCGTACATCTTCCGTGATGTCAAGAATCCTAGCTAGTCGGGGCATGGTAAAGAAAACTTGCAGCCTCGGTGGAGTGTGAAGTGAACGAGGTGTTGACATCGATTTGAGAATGGTGTCGTCCGAAAACAGCAAAAATAATGGATTGAACGTGGCCTGTGGCAGTTCGCGGTTTGTGAGTAAACCTACCGTACTCCATTACGTGTACCGGTACTTATTAGCCCTGGTCACTCTGGCTAAAATAAATAGTAGAGTATCGGACACGAAGCACTGCACCTAGCTAGTTTAGCTTCAATAATTTTATAGAAACTTGATTTAGGGCTAAGGTGGAAGATTGAATCCTTCCGCCAGCTGGCAATTGCGGCTCATTCGTGTGCCGTTCTTGTTACGCGTAAACCTTGAGCAAGCTGTAACTTGGAGAGATAGGGTGCGATGAAATTAGGTGAAGTTGACTTTAAACAAGTATCGGAATGGTTGCAGTGTGACGTACGAGAATTACTCACATCTCACATTTTGAGCTGGCGGTAGCATCATCCATTCACTTTGACAGTTGTATGCTAATGGCTCTCCGTCCGATCGCGAGTCAACATCCGTTGCGAAGAATACACCAAGGGTGAGCTGTTACGAATGCTACGTTAGGGTCACTTGATGTATCATACCCTTCATTTGTTGTTGGAGAATCGAATTTCCTTCCAAACGAAACAAAATACTACCAAGATGGCGGCAGCCCTGAAACGATTCTATCGAGGCGACAATGCCGTGAGGGACCACGAGCTTGAGATCTTTCGCCAGTGTAGCGACAAGATTGGAAAGATCCTTCGATTGACGAGCAACTCTGAAGCGAATGTCACTGAACTTCGCCAGTTGAGTCTTTCCAAAGGAGGGCTCTTCAATGGTAAGTGCCATGAGATCTATCGAAGGATATTGCGACACATCTTCTTTGGTCATACTCACGGTCATTCCTCTTCTGTATCAAAGGGCCCATGAGGCGTTGGGCATGGCCGGCCCTCCTTCAGGTCCCAACTGAGGGATCCGATGCCACGGCTCCTGCTCTCTCGCGAGACGATCTGGATCTAATTGAGAAAGATGTGCAGCGCTCCGGCCTCTTTCGGTCTCGAGCAGTAGAGGGGTGCATCGCAAGGGGAGAACAGCAATCAGATCTGTTGCAAACCAAACTCATCTCGGTTCTTAGCGCGGCGGTATCGTCGCCTCTTGCCACTGGCGAAGACGAACCGTGCTACTACCAAGGACTTCATGATATTGCTTTCATCTTGCTCGTCAACCTGAACTACGATGAAGACAAGACCACACGTGCCCTGCGGAAGCTCATGCAGTCTCATCTACAAGACGCCACTAAGAAAGACTTCAGCAACATCACCTTTGTGCTAGATACGGTGCTGATGCCTCTGATCCAATCGTTGGATGAAGAAGTGTACATGGCATTGGTAGCGTCGGATGTGCCGCTGACCAACGTTATTCTCCCCTGGCTCATTACTCTCTTTGCACATCCCGTTCAAGACGAGTCGGTGGCAAGTCGGCTGATGGACGCCTTTGTGGCGAACGGGCATCCTATGCTGCCGTTCTACGTTGCGGTGGCTCTGTTGACCCACCCATCGCTCAGGAGTCAGATCCTTGCTGCTTCCTGTGATCCTGCCATGATGCACATGGCAATCCAGGCTTTGCCAAGCCAACTGAAGAATGACCTCGAGATGTCGGGCGGAGGCAAAGGAGGCATCACCGCCCAGGACATCATAGATTTGTCCTTGTCCATCATGTAAGTGGTAAACGCGCAGGAAGCGAACCTTCTGCCTTTTGTCTTTTGCCTTGACCTCACCAACCGTTTTGGCTCCCTCAACTCCTTCTCCAGGCAAGAAAAGACACCTGAATCACTACTTCAGTTCATCGGCATGGGTCTTGGGCAGCGCTCTCGTCGGCGTCTTTTGAAAAAGGCTCGCTGCATCTCGATGCTCGGGATCCCAGCGAGACAGTCAAGGCTAAGTGCACAAGCGGATCTGTTCTGGAAGACGCAGGCACAGGTACGATCCAATGCCAAGGTTCGTCTGGGTCAGCTCTACGCCGATGCACCTGCCATTTACGAGACGGCACTATCCAGGGGAGAGAAAGCTTTGGTGGAGTGCCACAAGATGTTGGTGCCATCGAAGCAAACTCTACTGGTTCTACAGGTGATCACTACCCTGGTCATATTGTTGCCTCATCACTACGTGGGTCAGTTCTACTGTTTGGTGCAGCTTGCTATGGGCTTCTGTACAACCGCATTAGCCTCGTTCAGTTGGTTTCCTGCATCGACTGATGTGAATGACACGAAGAAGCTGACCAACCACTACTACAGTGACACCTACGATGATGAGGTGCCAGGAGTGGTCATGGTGAAGTCCCCGTCCATGACGTCCCTCTGTGATCTACCAGGAGTGCTCATGGTGAAGTCCCCGTCCACGACGTCCCTCTGTGATCATGAGTTTGCATGCTGAGTCCAGAGCAATAGTTCAGGCTCCTGCAGAGGCGTCGAGGAACTTGGCCGTTATGAGTTGGTACCAGTTGTGGGAAGGGTTTGCCAGGTGGCGAACGCTTTGATTGGGAAATGTTGATATTGTGATTATTATGTTGAAATGTGTGTTGTTACCTGTGGAAAGTATTGAACATAGCAACAGAGGATGAAGGACACCCTGTACATATCTTCAAGTCTAACATCCTCTGAAAGAAGAGCGCATTGCGTGACAGGCGACTCTCAAATGAATCTAATTGAAAAGAACACAGCGGGCAAGTGTTGCAGCGTGAGGCAAAAGGTTCGGGCGTGCCAAGTGGAAGTATATCAAAAAGAAGTACACTTTGGTCATGCTCAAGTCTGAGCTTCATTGTATCCTGTGGATGCTTGCCCACACCTTCACCGTCGTGTGAAGATGCAGAAAAGAAGTAAATTAAAAGGAAGTACTTTCTGCGCATGTAATGGAAACTCTGAGTCTATATTCGTTCTCTTTGCGTTGCTTCAGGTTGATTGTTGTTCAGCCATCACTCACTTGCTGCCTATTGGAATGACTCATCAGATTCTTCCAGCAGCGATTCCAGGGACATGGATGTCGTTTTCGATTGTGTGAGGGCTTCTACCAGTATCCTGTCCAAATGATCCTTGTCGCCAGCAACGGCCTTCTCCATTCTTTGTAGCAGAGGAGATTGCGTGTCTTCTTCGTTATCAAACAAGATCCCGGATAGATTGGCTTGTCGCACCAGCCAGCCAATGGGCTTCTGAAAGGCATTGAGCTTGTAATTCTTTTCCAGCAGTGGCTCTAGGACAACCGCAAAGGATGCGGTATCTGGTTGCAATTTCCTCGGAACAAATGGTTCTACTTGATCGTCCTTGGGCAAAATGACTGGTTGCTCCTGGGCCAGTGCCAAGAGGAGAGGCACGGCAATCAAAGAGCACAGTTCCATTTTGGAGGCCAATCCCTGTAAGACGCGGTTGTACTGGATAAGTCGTTGCTTGTTGTTGAGGAACTCGGAACTTGGATGAGCTGTGTAAAGCATGTTTTCCATGCGACTCAAGACGCGTAACGCGGCCATGGGGTCGGCGTCTCGTTGCAGGTAGACTTGCATAACGAGCGAGTAGGGTTCAATACTGATGATGATGCTATTGTTGTTGGCACTTGCTTCCAGTAAAGTCAAAATAGATTCCATCCGATGGCCATAGTCAAACGCTCTAGTCTCATTATCTTTTTCCGTGCTTTTGTGAAAGGCCATCATCCATGCATCCAACACTTCTTGAAAGTCTTGCAATCCTACTTCAGTTGCGTCATTCATCAGCTTTTCTCGAAGAATGTCTTCCGCCTTCTCTGCCGTTTCTTCTTCCCGGGACGAGGCTGCTGCCAATGACACTGCCGGTATGGAGTAACGGTATGAGCGTTCATGGCTCCTTGAATGTGCTGTCCCTGATAGTGGATGGTCTATTAAAAACCCCGCTGCTTGCAATAGTAAGAGTTGCGTCGTGACGAGCAGCACAGGTACATGTACCAACGGTAGTATACCCATGGTCAGCGATTGAGAACACACGAAACTTCCAGAGCTCCATTTCACAGTCGCCCTCACGCGAGGATGCCTGTCACGTTGCGTGATATCAAGCTGGACTCGACTCCGATTGGATCGTCTTAATCGTGGGAGTTCCAACGGCACGATTTCACTTGCGGAACATTCCACGATGTCGATATCTCAGTTTCGGTGCTCGATGTTTGCTCCCACTGGATTCTTGCGAGTGCCAGTGCAACGGATGCAGATACGTATCATCCAGAGCCGTGTACAGTAGCTCCATTCATTGCATGAGGTAGGCAACATACTCATTTGAAGAAGTTAAGAAAGAGTTACAAGAGAAGATACTCCCATTCCGATTCTCCCACTCCGAGTCAACATCACACCTCTCTTGTTTTCCAGTAAGAAATGAGAGAGCTATTTCAGTATCGTCGCCAACGAAATAATGCTTCCACTAGTAACTCCAGTAGAAGGCAACAACAGTTTCAGCAGCAACAACAGCAACAGAATGACCCCTCCTTTAACCAACATCATCCTCAGCAATACATGCTCGACCCAGATCCCTTGAGTAGTGCACACCATCTACCTCCATTATCGCACCACTACGGCAGCAATCATCGTCATCATTCCCCTCATCAGTACCATTCTTCGTTGCCATCTCATCCACGACAGCCAGATGGGACTGGCAGCGGTAGTTCCTTGCAGCAGCATCGCAGACGACGTTTTTCACCATCGCGTCATCAGCGTACTCGTGGCTCTTCGCGTGCTAGATCGGTTTCCTCGCAACAAAGCACTGCCACCATGACGGATTATCGATCTGTCACATCGGCAACAGTCCCCAGTTATGTCACTGGAGCCAATGCATCCGTTTCTCGCATCAGTGATGATGAAACCTCGTGGATGTCGGGAGTCGAGTCACAAGCTCGTAGTGCCGGTGGAGGATCCAATACATCTTCTATCGGAACAGGATCTAGGAATCCCTACTTGAGAGATGGAAAAAAGACCAAGAAAGTGATTGATGGTAAGAAATTGTTCCCTGAATTAAGTTGTGTGGATCCTTCGAGACGTTCTGTGGTGTCTCAACTTGTTTGTTGTTGACAGACTTGAATGGGGCGGAAGATGAAGAATCTACTTTGACGGCCTTAACTGTTATCATTACAGAATTTGACCACAGTGACACTATTAAACACAATGCAGAATTATACTATGGTGCAATTGGAGTTCTGGCACAAAAGTTGTCCATGACCGACCATCATGATGCGATACGCATGATTTGTTCAGCCATGGAAATGGCATTTCGAGGAGGGGCCAAATATGTTAAGGAGGCCTTTCATGTCAATGCTCCTGCCATGATGCCTCCTCTACTTCGACTGCTTGATCGCTGTGAACAGTCAAAAGTCAGATTTCCGGATGAGATCATACTCAACATTACCAAGACATTTCATTACTGGAGTCGGATACCGGAACTCCGAGTATCACTGGCCCGACAACCGGGCTTGTTGGATGCATTACGGCGGGTGGCAACATCACCCCTCAATGTTCCCAGTCGCAATGTTCGTGTACGGATCATTGCCAATCTAGCCAATGCGGAAGACAACAAAGTCCTGATGTATGCGCACAAGGGATTGCTCACGAGCTTGCTCAAAATTGCTCACTTGGACCCAGTCGATGCCACCAGAGAATTTTCTACCATTGCATTGATGGATCTAGCCTCGGCGCCGGCCAATCAAGTGCCACTAGCTAACCATGGTTATGTGCTCAAGGTACTGACAGTCATGGTGGTATCGGAAAAGGTTACATCGATTCGCGAAAGTGCCACCACCACCCTCCAAAATCTAGCCTTTCCCAAGGCGAATCGACTACGGTTGGTCAACTTTCAAGACGGATTGGTATTAGAAGCACTGTTGAAAGTCCTGGACCGAGACCCCAATCAAAAAGCGCGGCGTCGTGCAGGAGGTGCTCTTACCAATCTCGCCTGCGAAGCGACGGCGGACCAAATGGCCAAGCAACCAGCGCTGCTCTACACACTGGCTCATGTGGCCATTCACGAAGAAACAGACGAAGAGATTCAGTCAAGGGCCTGTCTGGCTCTCACCAAGATTGCATCAGGAGTCAAGAACGGTCAGTCTCCCACCCACTCTGCCGTGCTGGATGCGTTGGTCATTGCAGCGGATACTCGAGTCGATAACAATATATCGGCCGTCTTTCGGTTGCGTGCTAGAGACCCTCAATGCCGAGAGGGTATGGCGAGACATCCCGGAGTTTTGTCCAAGTTGGCAGGGATGTGCTTCAAACCATCCTTGAAGGAACGGGACAATGCCACCCGGGCCATTATGCACTTGGCCAACGAAAATATCAATCGCAAGATTATGTGCAATGAGGAGATTCTAGAGGCACTCATTCATGGTGCTTCTTGTAGCGTTGTCCCGTCGTCAGACAGACATCAACATAGTGGCAGTTCCACACTGACAGAAGAGCACAACTTGCTAACGGAAATGCAAGATTCAGCCATTCGAGCAATTGCCAGGTTGGCTACAGAGCATTCAAACCGACAAACAATGGCCAAGCACAGAGGATTAATCACGGCCATTGCCAGGGCTACTGAACGAGAATCCAAGCTAGAAATGAAGGGTCCCGTCAGCCCTGAACAACAACAGGCCTTTTTGGGAAAACCGCTGTTGATGAGTCTCCTGATGGCCATGTAGTTTCAAACCTTGTCCCACCGTAGCTAATAGACTGTGCACAGTACGCCGGCTGGTGTCATGTCTGTTTTCGCCGCAACACATCTTTTCTCTGGGAATGCCGGTCATTACTAGCTAGCTATCTTTCTTCGCTGTTGTCATCAGAAAAGTATTTTTAAGTTTTCAATGAATATTTATTACACCCGTTTGTAGGGGTCATCTGTGGTGTCATCATCATGCAGTGTGGTTTCATCATCTAGTAGATCCATACGACTCGATAGTGCTCCCATGGCGATTGCTTCAAAAGTCTTTTCCATCTCGCTCACGATTTCCTGCCCCCTCCGCTGCCACTCAGTTCTATTCTGCCTAGCGCATGCCAAGTATTCGTCAAAGCAGACCTCGAAAGCCCCAGAAGACCTCAATTTCTTTGCCAAGGGGATCACGGTAGTATCGAAGAAGTCGAGCTCACCCTGATACCAGTAATCGCACGGATCCTCTTCCAATCTTCCTGCTTTGTGCGCCTTCAGCTGTTCATGAAAGAGTCGCTGATTCCACTTTTGGTAAACATCTGTAGCAAGAAAAGATCGAGATTAATTTGAGAAAACGCTGTTTGGTCCCTGAATCACTGATTCGTCGTTTATACTTACGCCAATGCTGCATTGTGTGCGCCACATCACTGGCCTGAACCATTAGTTCCAGTACAACAGTTGCTTTGCGATCCGCCATGTCTCTAATGTCTCCTAGGCTTGATTCTGGAAGCGGAATCTTTTGATTTAACTTGGGGAATGCTTCGTCCCAGCGTTGCTGGCGTGCTACATTCAGCTCCTCGTCAAACAGGTCAGTCGCGACAACGGCGTTAACGACGATTTGCCTGAAACGGTGGTACTCTTCATTGCTGGCGTAGATTGCTTCACGCAACTCTTCGAATCCAGGGTCCATTAGTAAATCCCAAGCGCACTGGAAACTGTTCTGTTCTGCGATGCTTCTCTTCTCGAAAATCCTTGACAAGCGACCATTTTCCCTTACTAAGGTACTGTTAGGAACTCCAGGGTGGTCTGTTACAAGATAGCAAGCAAGCAAGTTAGTTCACCATTCCCTTCATTGATTTGTCACATATCACCTGGAACATTGGGTACCTACCAGCATCATGAATCAAAATCGCGAATGCAAGTGCAAAGTGCGTCATCGGATCAGCCGAAATACCGAAAGTTTTCTCATACAAAAATCTGCCTTGTTCCTCGTCTCGGGTGGCACATGGCCTTCCGCTGCTCTCGTCGTGTGCGAAGCTTGTGTGATTTGGGGATGCTGCAAGATTCGACAGAAGCTTGATTATGTTCATGGTGCAGTGAGAGGCATGCTGATACGAATGGAATGGGTGGTCGATGTACATGGAGCAGATGATCGACACGTAGTCTTGCAGTTGCTGCTGAACGCGTTCATTAAGGTTCACGGGCATGTCATCAATCTCCACGAAGGCCTTCGCATCGTAAAGAGGCATGTCGACTGTGTTCCCTGCTTCCTTCAGAATGCTTCCAGAGTCACCAACGCCAACGTGGGCATTGCGCATGTACGACTCTTCATATTCTTGGTTCGAAGTACCGTTGGCAAAATTATGCTCCAAAACAATCTTTCTATGGGCCACCAAATTGCTCAAGAGCATCGCGAGCTGATTGCAGTTCCAGTCTGCAAGGCGTTGATTCTGTTCGGACAGGCATTGTCGGATTTCGTTAGTCCCCAGGCACATCTTACTTCGGTTCGAATCAAACAGCTCTGTGGGAAGATCCAGCCAGTCATAATCTATATCGACGCTGCTGTCTTCCCCGTCGCTGATTTCTGACATGGGCGCGGCGACCTTCTTGTTATGCAGCCAGTACGTTTGAAGCTCTCTGTAATTGGGTTGCAAAAGGTTCCGTCCGTGAGCACTTTACCACAGAGAAATGACCGCCCTCGCTGGTTTTCTGCTTACCCTTTACCCTTTGCAATGATCTTGTCTTCACGAGCTTCGAACCAGTCTTCTTTGCCTGATTTTATGAGCTGCTCTGCAGTTTGCTCGGATATGTGAATCTTTTCCCGCTTCCCGTTTGATTCCATTCGGGCGGCGGTATTGACAGTGTCGCCTTGAAACGAGAACAGATACGGTAATGTCATGGGTGAGATGATAAGTCCCTATTTTGCACCCCTTCCTCCCTCCTGGCGCCATCTAGCTTACCAAACAGCTGGAACCTCGACCTCTCTCCTCTCAGCACTCCAGCCGTTACTTTGGGTCGAATCAAAGGTTGACGAGCAAGCATTGGTTGACGAGCAAACGTTGGTCAGCATATTGCAGATTTTTCCATGAAGCATGCCACGAGAGATCAGTACTCACCAGCACCACTATGAAGCCCAAATCGCATTGACAGCTGCAGGATCACAATCGCGCAACGGAGGAGCTGAGTTCGAACTAACTTTGCACGATGAATGGAGACACTGTGCCACAAGAATACAAAGACGCACCTCCCCAGTATCTGGCCCTAGCTTGACCTCGAGCTTCTTCGTCAGGATTTCCATGACATACAAACAGTCCCTCGCAAATCTGGGAGATGCAAGAAAAAAAATATGTAAGGGGAATGCTTCCTTTGTGATGACACAATACGTCGCACCCTATTGCCGTCGCATACCTGCACATGTTTACGGCATGCTCCTTGCATGGCTCTGAAAAGGTCAATTGCAAAGAATCGGTCACCTATGTCAGAAGACGATGACGTTCCGTAGCAGACAAAGACTGATTCATTCAAAAACATACCGGGCAAGCCTGTAGCGGCTACGTAACAATCGCCTGCACAGATGCAGAGCAGAACAAGAAGCCCAAATGAGTCAAGTAAGTCCCTTTTCAAATGCAGCTGAAGTGAACACCGCTCTGCAGAAACGCACCGATAGTCTCGACTGAAAGTTCGAAAGAGGCAGGAAATGGTTTAGGATCCAGACTTCCTTTTCCATACTGCGACGCTCCCTTGTTGCAACTCACCTTTAAAGACCTTCCTTCGTCGAGCAATCTCATCAAAGCTATGGTAGATTGTCTCGAGCAGTTCAAAAACCTGTTTGCAGCAGCGAGAATGGAAATGAGATAAACACGACTACCCCGGACTGCGACGACAACTATTATCATGTCTCACCTGCGTGGGCTCGCGGACGCTGGACCATCTGCAAAACAATAGAGCATGAAGTTCGAACGTGAGAGAAACCCTGTCATGGTTGATGAGTCCTCCAAGTCATAATCCTGTCTTCACGTACGCTGTGAAACCTATCAAAATCGAGGTCAGGCGGCAACGATGACGCAAAGGATAGTTAGTTAGGAACCGAAACGAACGCATCAGCGGGCACGTGGCAGAAGAACTCACCGACTATATCAGCAAACAGGACAGTTGTTTCTGTTGGAGAGGGCAAACAATGGCAAGGGAAACGTTGAGTACGACGCCTGCACAGCCAAGCAGCAAGTGCAGCTTCTGCATGAACTTTGAGGCTCAAGTGACAAATAATGTCTCTCCAGCACTCACCTGGAAACAGGTCTGCATTGGGTTTGGATCGCTTTTCTTTTCGCTTTTCTTGAATCTGCTTGAGAGAATTCCGTCGACTGCTACGAAGCGCGGCAGCTCGTCCCTTGCTCTTGTCGGACATGCGTACTTTGACTTCGGCCTGGGCTTCTTGGAGGATACGATCCCGTACCGTGCTGGGGAACAAACTCGAGACGATGGCACTGGTACTCATGGCAATGGCCATGACCTTGTTTTGACGATTCCCGATCAAGTATACATATGCCAGAAAGATCAAACCAGTCCCGATAAAGACACCGGCAATGGACAACGTAAACATGACGGCGTGTTTGGAATGAATCTCGGAACTAAACTCCGCCGACGGGTAAATGTCGATGGTGTAGTGACAGGGCGAGACTTGTCGACTCGAGTGTCGCTGGTCCTCCTCTGTGTAGACAACCCCATACGAGACTGTTTCTGTCAAGATGGGTTGGTGCTTGGAAGCCTCGTATTGCGTGTCGTGAAGGTCTCCCCGTCCCAAAAAGGTTGCGTTTCGTCCTTGGAGGAGGAAGGAATGTGCTTGGGCATCACAGGGATTGCGCAAGACGCACACAATCCCACTAATGTCGTCTGGGAGTAGATCAGAGAAGAAGTCTTCCCAAGGCAGAATGCCCATAGCAAATGCTTGTATCGGATCCTCGTGATGCTGAATGTAGGAAGTATGAATGGGATGGAATAGAAAGCTCTGTGGTGACGCTGCAAAATCAGTGGTTTCATTCGACGACTGTGGATTGGTGACATCGTGTTCGGCAGCATCGACAGCGTCGTTTGTACTGCTGGCACTATAGAGGGACATGGGAACGACATGGGAAATGGCGAATTCGGACGGCGCTTGACCTCTCAGGAAGGCTTGAAAGAGGAGATAGAAACTGTCACTGGACATGAGATCCGTGTTGATGACTGCAGCCTTGGAAGGAGGTGGTGGAGGAGATAACTGCCAGAGTGGAGCAAACGGACCTTCGGTAGGGTCTAGATTGTACTGTCCAGTTGTGGAGACGACAATCTCGGGTGAAATGGAATACTCTGTTCCCGCGGACCGATTCGTGACGTTGTTGCTGGTGTTGTCGTCCAGGGTATTGTCGTTGATATCTGTTGTGGTTGGTTCTTCCGAGAAGGATGCCTCTTGGGCTGCAAGCTCAGCCAGTCTGGCAGCCAAGAGTGCATTGTAGCTGTCCTGTATCCAGATCTGATTCTCTGCGGAATAGCCCTCCCAGGAGGTCCGTTCCTCTGTATCAATGAGGGGCAGAAAGCCCATAATGTTCAAGACGGAGCTCTTTCGAATGGATGTGACTCGTTGCTCAAAGTTTGGCAGAGTCACATAAGGCCATTGGGTGTTGGTGTCTTGGCAGTATGATGTAATTGTCTCTCCAAGCACTTGTAGACTGTCTGTGACTCCCTGCATTTCATGATGCACTCCATCAGCCACTGTCATGGCAGCATTGTTAAACTGGAAGTCAGAGACAGATAGACAGACAGATAGATAGAGGAAGAGAACGACGCGAGGTGAGTTGTGGTGCCACCAGTTCTGGGCCGTATAGCCCCTTGCCCCTGTGGGGTAGCATGAGTCCAGCCTTTTATGAACTTACCGCTCTTTCAAACTCTCTGCCTGCATCGTTGTCAAGGTAAACACTGGTAGCAATCACCACAATGGAAGTATTGACAAACATGAGAAAGATAACAAAGAGCTTCCAACGGAACGTGCTGGAGATCTTCTTGCCATTGGCTAGCATGGGCTTGTCGCCCTTCTTGTCCTTCTTGACCTTCTTGTCGTTGTCTTCCACATCGAAGTGGGTTCTTCTGGAACTGGTAGCATTGTGGTTGTTGGTCCCATGGCTCGAGTCATTGCCTAGACCGTCATAGTCAATGGTATCTGCGTCCATAGAGTGTTCATCAGCAAAACTGCTGGAGCCTTCTTGCGAAACTGACAAACTATCCTCCATGTCTAATGTTCCTGTCATTTGCAATGGTCCACACTAAACCTTGGGGATGGATGGATGGATGGAGGGAACGGTAGCTTTGGGTATACTAGTATCCTATACTAGTATCCTGGTGTCACAGAGAGGCTGTGTCAAGGAAGTTGCCAAAGTAAGCAAAGTCGAAAAGAGTTGCTACTAGTACTATCCACTAACCAACGGGACAACCAACAACGCGCCAAGGGCTTGGGAGTGTAATAGTTGGGCGGGAGAGAAGAGCGAGAAAAAAACTTGGAGAGATAAACGAGAAGGACGGGAGCTGGAGACACGAGGCTTGTGGCAAAGGCTAACTTACCTCCGCATCCGATGACGTGGTATTTGCTATTTAATGGATGGGGTCTTGGCCTATTCCAGAAGTGTCATCGTTGGACATTCGTGCCACTCAACCAATAACAATTTGGGCCCTCTTAGCTCCTTTAAAAAAGGGTGCGATGAAGCTGTTCCTAAAGGATCGCCTCCAAGAACCCATCGAAGGCCATTGATAAAAACATCTGCTATTTAGATGTCTTTGAAGAGCTTTTGCAACACTTCAACTTTATTTTTCTCTCCGCAGGGTGACCACGTCGACATACTCAGAGAGATGGAAGCGTTTGATTGGACCAAGGAGCAATCTATTGCAGGACAAGAACTCTGACCAAAGAATACAGACGTCAACGGTCGCTTCCATCAATTCACCCCACGGAACAGGTTGTAAAACTAACTGTGGACTGCGGAAGTGGCAATCATTTTCTTGTGTATTATTTGCCACGGGGATGAGCAAACTTGCCCATGGCTCTGTGTTGAATTTGTTAGAGCGTTTTTGTAAAAATTGTGTGCCCTAAGCCAATCTTTTACTTTGGCTGTTTTTCTCTATTGGATTTGATTGGATTGCATTGGATTAGATTGGATTGCATTGAATTACAGTTTACTATATAAATAACAGTACTAATTGGAATCCAATTCAATCCAATTCAATGCAATGCAATCCAATCTAATCCAATTAAATTTATCTTCTGGCAAAAATACGAATTTCGTCTTTTTAACTGATTTTAGCGAGTCACATCCATTACAATACAAGGCTATTGCAAGATTTGCCCATCCCCCACCACATATTGCGTGTGTCAGCACAAAACTACAATGTTGTACTTTCGCCAGCGACTGGTACCACAGACTTGTGCCTAATTCGCATAGGCACTTTCCGGCTATTGATCTTCTAAATGGTAGGACTGGTTTCTGGTAGCCAACCCTACGCCTTGTTGTCCAACACGGTTGCTAACTTATCTCTTTTTCTTGCTGTTGGCTCAATGTGAGAGACTTGCATCTGCATTCATGGGACTTGCAGTGGAAGCCTTCTGTCACAGCAGGGGCATGCCTCAGCTCGGTTGGCAACCACTATGTTTTCACTATGCAGCTGAAGCTGCCAATTGGCCCCTTACATCAGATTCTATTTAAAAAGGGGCCGGCAACTCAATCACTAACACGATTGATGAAATTGCAAGTCACACAGCAAGCCCAAGAAAACTTGTCATCGAAAGAAATCAAGCGTGATAAGCAACTAAAATTTTGCATCTATGAAACTTCTGCAGGTACTGTATCTTAGCTGTTAGCTACCTAGGGCTAGCTAGGGGCAGCCATTGTCAAGTGCCCACCGCAAAAGCTCTGCATTTCTTCCACGTTGTGCCATTTGGCGAGTTTTTCTATTCCATAAACACCCATTTGCACGGGCCCATTTGAGAACTTCCAAATGCCCCATGCGAGCTGCAAAATTGCAGGTATCTTCATCACACTCGTTCTCTCTCGCCCAATTCAATAATTCTAGGTACCCTCCACCAGCTGCACGAGCACAAGTTTTCTCATTCCAAGGGCAGCCATTTTCTCTTGCCCAAGTTAAAACTTGCAGTTGCCCAGTGCTAGCTGCACCAGAGCATGTTGTCACTCCCCAAGGGCAGCCATTTTCTCGAGCCCATTTCAATATTTCCAACTGACCGCCTTCTGCAGCACCAGCACATGTCCACTCATTCCATGGACAGCCATTGTCTCTTGCCCATTTCAATACATGCAAATGCCCTCTTCTAGCTGCATTGGAGCAGGTTATCTCATCCCACGGACAGCCATTGTTGCGAGCCCACCTCAATATTTCCAAATGCCCTTCACTAGCAGCACAAGCACTTGTCTTTTCGTTCCAGGTGCAACCGTTCTCATGAGACCATTTTAGGATTTCCAAATGTCCATGTTGAGCTGCTGCATTACAAGTAGCTTCTTTCCAAGGACAGCCATTGTTTCTTGCCCACTTCAACACTTCTAGATGTCCCTCCTTAGCAGCACAAAAACATATGGTCTCATTCCATGGACATCCCTTGCCTCGTACCCACTTCAAAAATTCCAAATGACCTCCCTCTGCGGCATAGTAGCATGTCCTGTAATCCCAAGGGCATCCCTGTTAGTTGCTCTAAGCTCTCTTCTAGTAGTTACTGTTGCTATTGAGATACTATTGAAAAAGTGGGTGGGCTCTGTTTCCATGCTATTTCTACTGGCATGAAATTCTAGTACAGAGGTACAGGTTCAATCCCTAATCGCGAATCCCCAACACACTCCTGTGGTCGTCGAGCTTGTCCTAGTCGTCGACCATGCTTACTTACTTACTTCGCTTAGCGCTCCTTCTTTGAACGGACCTTCTTGTCCGACCGTGACCCTCCTTCTGAGTGCCCTGGCTCTGAGTGTTCCACAACACCCATCAACTTGTCCACGTTCTGTTTGAACAGTCGACCTTGGTTCGGCTTCGTCCAGAAGTCCGCAATCATATCATCAGTTGGACACCAGTCCACACTGATCTCCTTCTTTGCGACTCTGTCGCTCACAAAGAAGTACCTAATGTTGATGTGCTTCGTTCGTTTACTACTAGAAGCTTTGCCGTTCTTCTCTAGAAGAATGGCACTCTTGTTGTCCTGATAGACTATAGTTTCTTTTATAACTACATAGCCTTGCTCCGAAGGAACCGCCTCGTCCAAAGGATCGATAGCATCAGGTCATCAACTGACTACGAGTGTTCACTCTCAGTTGAGCTTCTCGTGTTCAACTTCTGTTTCGTCGAAGTCGATAATGGTAACCGTGTGCCCTGGGTCAAACCCCCTCCGGTTTGACCCCTCATGTTTGGATTGACTTCGAAAGAACCATCAACATACTCATTTCAATATGCCAGCTTCGTCGGCTTTGAGAACTAATAGGTAGTTT